GTCAGTTAATCCAGCACTACTATTCTCCTTTCCCTCAATTTTGTAATATTTGTTATAAGAGTAGTATTAAGTTCATGCAAAGCATTTCAAGTAGAGTCTGTGATAAATGTTAATAATAGTTTAAGCAACCTAGCTTTGTAAAGTTTTCCTGTTTTAAAACTGACCATAGTTAGTGTTAAGCTGTGATCACTAGTTCAGAGGAAAGAAGGCATAGTTAATTCAAACTGATAGTAAAAGCATCTGAATTCTTCCCAGCTGCATGGAAAACACATGTGAACCTGGGAAAAAACTAAGTTCACACAATGCTAAGTCACAGGTGGGGAATCATTTTCAGCCCAAGGACCGAATTCCAATCTTGGCAATGCTTCAGGGCTCATTCCAGAGATGGGTGAAACTAAAAATAAAGGGGAGGGGGCTATAGGCAGGATAGTGGTGGTGGAGGCGGAGGCATGTATATTTAATTTAATAGCAGTGCATAGCAAGAGCAGGCAGCAGCTGCAATTCAAGGACACTTGCTATCACAGAAGCAAGCTAAAAGAATTACTGCTATCCATCACACAAAGTAAGGCAGCTGAGTTCCATGCATGTTTACTTAGGAGCAACAGCTTCTGTGCTCCCCGCCCGTCGTACAAAAAGCAAGGCAGTGGAGCTGTATACATCACAAAGTGACACCATGGTTTATCATATGAGACAATTCAACCAATGAGTTTAAGAAACTTTAGCAGAGTACCTCATCAAAAGCTGCTAAGCAAACTTAGCAGTCATAGCATAAAAACAGGTTCTTTTAGGATAATCACTGCTTAATAAGCAAAGAGCAGAAGGAAGATTTAAATAATGCAGTTTTCATAGTGAAGAGCAGTGGATTCTCTTAAGGATCTATATTGGGATTGGTGTTATTTAACATTGCATAAATTATCTGGATCATTATTTATTAGTTAGATGGGGTGACCATTGATGTAGCCAGATTGTGTATGACACCAGATTATCCAGCTTGGTAAAATTCAAAGCAGATTGTGAAGAATTTCAAGGGGATTGCTTCAGAATGGGTGAACAGGCTCTAAAATACTAAATGGAATATATGCAACTGAAAAAAATTCCTAACTTAACATATATAGTGTTGCTACTGAACTAACAGATCTTGGGATTGTGATGGATGGTTCTGTGAAAAATGTCAATTCATTGTGTAGTAGCAGAAAGAAAAAAAAAAGAAGGTAAATTCGTGTTTGGGGTTATCAGAAAATTGATTGAAAATAGCATAATGTTATTATCTTCATAGCTTTATGCAAATCTAAATGTTAAATGCACAGTTCTGATTCCTCTGTCTCAAAAGAATGTTATAGGACTGAAATAGGTTTAGAGAGGGGCAGCCCAAATAATTACAAAGTTGGATCACCATTCTGAAAAGATCACAGTGGAAGGAACATGGCAGAAGTGTGTGAGGGGAGCTAAATTTAGAACATTCATACTTCTTTCTGCTATGTCCAGTAGAATATATAAGAACTGTCTTCATAAATTTTGTAATAATCAGCTTAAGCATGTAACTTGTGTCCTTAATGTTTCTAATATAAAGGAAAATTGTGGTGGTTTTTTTTATTTAGAGGTGACTGCTAATCATGTATCTGCTAGGCAATAACACATTTTTATAACCTTTGACAATGCTATGTTTTGATCCAATACAATAATATTACTATTGAGTCTAAAAGTAAGGTCTACCTTGCTATCTTTTTAGTTTAATTTGAATTGCAATCCAAAATGTTGTAATGTCTTTAAATGTTCCAATTACTAAGAATTATCAGTTATCCATATATAGATCCTGGCTGGAGTCAGACACCAGTGCCAAAGTCTAAACAGAATCTGTGCCCTTTGGATTTCAAATTACATGAAAGCTGTACCTGTGAAGGCTTTATTTTAGAGACATTTCATGAAGTGAGAAATAAATGAATTTCTCTTCTAAGATGGCATTCACAGGGTTTGTAATTTTTTTAAATCATACTAAACCATTTGCAGAAAGCTGGTCAGTTCTTAACAGTTACCTTTTTCATAATAGTTTCTGCTTGGTGGTTGCACATAGGGGATCTGCACTGTCATTTGCAACATTCTAGAGCTAATCGGAATTTTAAGCAGGGACTCTTCTCATCTCTTCTGTGCATGCACCAGGTATGGCTCCTTCCTGCCTCTCTGTTCCTCTTTATCTACAATGTTTAGCAGCTCTTGGAACATTCTGTCATCCTGTTGCAAAATCCTCCAAAATCTCTCTGTCCCCTCATGAGTAGCTGAGCAGAGCTCTTTTCTGCTCTGCTCTATTTTCACTGAGTTTTTTCTTCATTCCATTACATCTGTGGGGCACTTGGCTCCCAGTACCTTCAACAATTGCACCTGCTGAGAAGACAAAATTGCCTAGGGCCAAGCCACCCTGAACACGGCTGATCTCAGAAGCTAAGATGGGTTGGGCTTGGTTTCTGTCTGGATAGGAGACTGTCTGGAAACACTGACTGTAGGCTCCTCACTATTAACTTGATTTTGCTGAAGCACAAAGAGTGAGCTATGCACAAAGAATAGTTCTTTAGCACAAAGAATAAGTGAACTATGTGCTTTAAGGCATGACCTACCATTCCTCACTGGGACAAGAATAGTGCTACTTTCAAGCTGCTCCTTGTGAAGGTTCTGCCACAATCTCATTTATCTCAGAATATTGTACTAGCAACTGTTTTTCCTCAGCCTGCCTCAAAGGAAATCAAACGTGTGTGTGTATTACATTTGTTTAAAAGCTGCCCATTAGCAATGTGCTGTTTGGGCATCCATTACTTCTTGACCTAGATTTGAGAAGGTTGCTTTCATTCTGAATTCACAGAACATTATCCTTTAGGAAATCTACCCATTTATTCATCTGCTACCCAGGACCCAAAAAAGGATGATAGGGAGCCATCATACCATTTTGCCAAATGAACAGTTTCAGCCATATATCTCACCTGTCATCTGGTAAGGTTTGCTTGATTAGAGCCACAACATCCTCTGCCACTTTCTTCAGAGATATTTAACTTCTACATCTTGTACCACTGCAGCTTGGGCTGAGCCTTCTGCCTTCATCAAACATTACTACCTGGTTACCAGAGCACAACACTGTTGGTTTTGGCAGTCTTTTCTTCAGTTCTGTTATGCCATTTCCCCTATCTGGCAGGTCTCTTGCTTTTCAGTTACCCAAAGTCACAGCAACTACAAAGTAGGACAGGTTGCTTACCTGTGACGGTAGTTCTTTCAGTGGACATAACCAACCCTCCTACCTGCTTTGATGCTTTACCTTTTGTATTCCTCTGCTGGTTGTGAACTCAAAACTGAGAGGCAGGCAGGAGTCATAACTAGAGAAAGCAGAGGGGTGGGTGGGGCACCTGCCTAAATCTCAGGTTAGCTCTAGAATGTTCTGAATGACTGTTCTCAGAGGACCACTCAGAGAACCACAGATGCAGGTACATAAGCAACCTGTTCTTATAAACAGAACCTTGCAGACCTGTATGTAAGGGGGTTGAAAAGAATACCATATAGGTTTTGATCTTCTATTTGTTGAATCCAAGCTTTTGCTTAAGCAGACCCATTGAAATCAATAAGAAGTAACTTAGTCCTGGCTTAATGTAAATCTCACTGATTTTAGTGGGTCTTCTCTAGGCATGACTAATCCAAGATTCACTACAGTCTGTTTGTTGCAATTATGTAGGTTGCCAGGCCTTTCCCCACAGGCAGTTCAAATTGGGATATGAAGACTAAGTGCTTTGTTAGCAGGGAACTGTGTGGGGATACAAGTGTTTCTCATGTATTGAGCAAAACCAGAAAGTTGATTGTGGGGTGTATGTGTATGTGTATCTTTCTAGTTTGATTTATTTGATATATTTATTTTGATTGTGAGCTGCCTAGAGATGCTATGGTGCAATAGGCAGCATACAAATATTTTAAATAATATTCCATAGGACTGTTCCTATGTGATGGGCTGAGCTGTGATTGCAAACATATTTTCCTTGAGCCAAGTAGTGAATCGTATTGCTAGAATTTGGTGTGGTAATCTTTAATTTTCTGGTAGTAATATATTTTCTTAACTCTGGAACCAGAGCACTTATTGACATAGTTTTGTGCAGAGAAAATCGAACCAGCATGAAATGGCAGTTGGTGGAAGGCAAGATGATATGCTATTACAGTGATGTTCAGAAACAACCACAAATCTTCTTTGCATGCTTCTGCTGCAGTGTGAACCTTAGGGGCCTGACCACCATGACGGTGCATCAACCCCAGCCTCACATGTTTGAGATCTGTCAGTAAGAACTGCAGTCTCACAAGCATAGGATCTGTGGATGTGGTTCTGCAAATGATGGCACTTGCCATCTTCTGTCAGAAGCAGCAAGTCACATGAATGCCTTGCAGCCATGTTTTGTGCAATCTGTGAATGGAAACAGGGTGGGGAAGCACGTCTGGAGATTTTAGCAGTTTGATGTTGACAGTGTCAAGTATTTGCTGGCAGCAGGCCTCCCGTGTTTTCTCTTCTGTTGTGCCTAAGCCCTGTTGTAATTTGTGGACCATCTCAGTGAAGGTGAAATTAGTAACAGAGTTAATGGCATCTAGAGTTTTGCAGAGCTGAAATTCGAGGATCAGAGTAGTTCTTCTAGTACAGAGGTAGACAACAGGCTGCACGCAACTCTGGCACTCTCTGGTATATTTCCTTCTGCCCCTGCTGCCATGCCTCCCAAATTCGTATTGGTGAAGGGAAAAAAAAAGAAGTTGGCAGCTTGCCACTGAATTTTGACAGCAAGCTGCTATATAGTATTAAAACAATCGAATTCAGCTTACTCTAAATTTGATGGCAGCAATGACAGATGGCCTGTGGGTGGACGAGATTATGATCTCCAGTCCTGCGGAAGTTGTCCACCCTTTTTCTAGTCTAATAAATGTATAACAACATAGCATTGAAAGTTGATGTTTGAAAACAGGTTGATTTTGATTTACTTCTTAAATTTCAGATCTGGCAATGTGGAGGCTCACTAGAGATTGTAACATGTTCACATGTTGGCCACGTCTTTCGAAAAGCTACACCTTATACCTTTCCTGGTGGTACTGGGCATGTAATTAACAAGAATAACAGACGACTTGCCGAGGTGTGGATGGATGAATTCAAAGACTTCTTCTATATAATATCTCCAGGTAAGGAAATATTTCACAATGATATTATGTTGATAGGTGTGGAATGAAATAAACAAGCCATATATATTTGGTTTAATGGAACTCTGTATTTTGGTTTAGTTTTATTGAATGTTTTCATCTTAGCTCTTCATTATTTTTGTTTCAAGGAAACATACTTTCCAGATATAAAACTGTAACATTTCAGAGCTCCAAAAGTTGCAGCAGTGGAAAAAAGTAGCTAGGATAGTAGGGCAAAGTACATTTCTGAGTCCATGTGTTACATCCCACCTGTTAAGTTACCAAAAGAAGAATAACATATATTTTGGATTAACGTACCCATCATACATGTATTCTCTTTGAAAAAAGCGTAACTTTTTTTGAATTAGATGAACTTAGATCAGGTGATATAACTATTGGCTTGTCAGTACTGTCACATTATTCCTTTGGTGTTTGACTTCCGTCAAGAGTAAGCTCCGCTGAACAAAGTGTCATTTACTTCAGTGTAAGCATTCATTGCCTTTAAAGGGTTTTAATTAAGCATGTAAGCTTGTTGATGCTTACTGGAAAGTACATTCCATTAATCTGTGGAGGTAAGTTCCGTGTCCATGGTCTGCAAGGGAGCCTACTATCAGCTGTGCTCTTGTTCCAAAGATCTTGTTCAACACCCCCGTTCTGTCACCAAGAGAAGGTGGTAAAACCTTAAAGAACTTTCCATCCTAGTTGATGAAGATAAAGAAAAAATGTCCAAGTATGTGAAAAGTGTGTTTCCTTTGTGGTGGCAAGAGCAGGAGGGAGAGTGCCTTATTTGGTGGTGCCGTTGTCCCTCCCAATTTTAGAGCAGCTCCCGTGAGGTTAATTAAAAAACATTTTAACAAGCGTCCAATTCAGTCCAAGATTACTGGTGAAGGAGGGGGATGCATGCCGTTGGAAATCTCAGTGCCTTATGAGAAGGGATTGTGTTTTATTTTCCAGAGCCACAGAATAACCCATACAACTATATTTCAAGAGCTCCTGATTTCAGAGCTCCTTAGAATGAGTGGGAAAGGTGAGGAATGAGTAGGAAAAGCCTTGATACATTGAACAAGTTGGGATGGACCATTTGTTTCTTGTTATTAGGATAGGAAGTGTATTCAAGGTGTGAACTTAAACTGTTTAAATTGCTTGATTCCTTTACAGCTGCACCAAATATTTTCTTTTTTAATATTTGGGAAGAAACCAGAGATTTAAGGTACCATTCTGTGAAAGTTTAGTGAGGAAAAAGGGCTTACAACTCCCAGCATGCTGGCTTCGGGTATGCTAGGAGTTACAGACCATTTTTCTGTCTAAACTTGCATAGGATTGCACCCTTACCGAAACAGACATCTTAGTTAATGAGTATCTGTTTGAAAGTGGTATTTATTCATCCATTTCAGCCACTTAGTCATCCCCAGTCAATTACATTGCTGGAGGCTAGGATTTATCCTTCCAGTATTGTAATTTCAGACTTTTGGCTGTCAAAGAGCACAGAGAAGCCACTTACTCTGATTATTTGATATTATCCATAAAGCAAGTAAATAATTTTTAAACTGTGTACATCAGTGAATATTAAAGAATATTCTAGTACAAAATTAATTTGGGTAATAACCTCTTACCATAAAGAAGCAACTACTGTACATTGTCAAAACATATGGTTAAAAGAGATTTTAACTGTATTTTAATCAGCCAAATCCCTAATTAAAGAGATGTTGCAGTTTTTGCTGAGTAAGACCCAACCTGAGCTCTTTCAGTGCAGCTTGAAGCAGTGATCTACTGTTTGCCGGTTTATCTTACATTAAACTGGTAATTCTTAGCAAGAACTAGAATTCTTTTTATAGATGCACAAGGCAGCTTAGATTTTTGGTAAAACTATTACTTTAGCTTCAAGTTACCTATCTAGCTAATTTGATATAAAATGACTCAAAGGTGAAACCAATCTTTATTGAATTTTGAACATTTCACTAATGGAAATAGTGTTTTCTTTCTTTGATCAGAGACAAGAACTTAAATTTGGAGCTTTGTTTGGGAATAAAATAGCAATGTATTTATGTGACATGCTAGTACTATAGTAATTAATCCTTCCCTCCTTATATTCAAGAAACTCTCTTGATTGGAGGAAACTTATTTGGGAGTGGGGTTTTTTAAAGATATTGCTAACTTTATGAGCAAATGTCTTTAAGAAAGAGGGGGATGGCCTCAATTTGTTTTGCTGCAGTAAATTCCCGCTGTACATAAATATGACCACAAGCATTTCTATAATTTAAAATCCTGTCAGATGTCATTAATACTTTTCTGCAACTTAAATATCAAATGCAAATAAACTGTTGCAACATTTATTTTATTTATGCAAATAAAATGTTATACTCCAGTTCATAAAAGAGTGATTTGTGTGTGGAAATAATTTGCAGTCACGCAAGGTTATTTGAGAGTTTGCCCTACAATTCAGTACCCTTTAGTATAGGAAAGTTAATAGTTATTTAAAATTCTGTCCATTTTGGATCTTATTCCTAACATCTTGTTATTTGCATGGAACAGATGTTTTCAGCATTATACAAAGAAAGGATTTTGATTTCCATATTTGCCAATGCCAAGTTATAATTTCTTAATATTTTTATTTTATTTCAGTGGATTATGTCCAGTTATGTCTTTGCTTCAGCAGAAAGCACTGCTGCTCACAAACCTCGGGCATCCACTTTTTATAGATGTACCTTAGCCACAGTGCCTGCCTTTTGCACTGTGGCTCTAGAAACCCTACAGACCAGAATGGGATCCGTTATCAAGAACTGTAAGGGACAATCAGAAACAATAGGATGCCTTTGGTACAGATGAACAGAAGTATGTTCTGATAAGGCAAAACTCATTGCATGCAACCTTATAATTCTAATTGTATTTATTGATCATGGCACACAACATTTCTGCCAAACCCGGAAAGGATTCTTTATTTGAAGGCATCCAAAATACAGAAGTGTTCACTGCTTTCAAGACTTGGAAATTACTGTTAAATTTATTCTGGAAGCCAGCTTACTGTGAGCTATGTGTTGAGAAAGAACTGTATAAATAAGTGATGCAATGATTTTGAAATTAGACAAGATATATAAAATTGGAAATAGTAACTGTTAGTACTGAGCTAAAAATGGAACCATTTTTTTTTCACATGTGGTGGATGTATTGCAGAACTCAACCATTTTGAAAAATGACTTTCCAAGCAAGAGGCTTTACTAATGTTAATGTACCTATAAAACCTCTTGTTTGTCTTGTCTTTTATACTAGATATAGTCCCCAGGAAGAAATATGAGGTACTATTAAATGCACTATTGGTCGCTAGGCTAGTTTATGTTTCTTACTGGATAAAGAGATATAAGAATGCCTGGGGAAAGTATAAGACATTCTTAATTTAATCTTTTAAAGTTGACAGTTTTCTACAAATCCTTGGATGCATTTGATTGTGTTAATAAAATATGTAGCGTCGTGCTTGTTTTTATAAAGAATAGTTTGTGTTATTACCAGTTCGAATGGTCATAAAGTCTATATAAAGGATAGTAGTCTGCCTTTGCAAATGGGATTCATCTTAGAGAATGGATTTTTTGTATGGACTGCATATTCTAGCCACTGTACAGGGCCACAGGATGTTTAGGATTTCATGCTCTGATCTCCCCTCAGCGCAGCCAGAGCAGAAGAAAATGTATGGCTGCTGTGCTGAGATGAGAAAACTAGCCTTGGAGATGGGGCAAAGGGGTCTGGGGGGAGACTACTGTGCATTTGATGCTTCCTCAGCAGCAGCTCTGCAGTTCGGCTAGACATCTGAGTTTGAAGACCTACAGGTATTGAGGGTGCAGGTGGTAGGATTGTGTCCTAAAGAAATGCTTAAAGAATAATCCCTGAAACAAGATGGACCTTGGAGATGGACCTTGCTGAAGTCCATGATTATCTGGAAAAATCAGGAGTGGGGGTATTTCCGTAAGGTTGTATTAGGAATGGTGCTTTATTACATACATTCAAGAAAAACAATAGCAACGTCGATCATAACATAGTTTGCTTTGAAGTTGTTCATTTTTTAGGCATTCAGACCAAAGTATCTCATGAGACAATGTTTCCTCATTGGGAGTTATGTGTCATCTCCAACAATGCATGTGAGGCAGCATTTCTACCTCTTAGCTCTTGTTTAGAAGATTAGGCAAGTAAAGTGTTGGTAATAGGAGACTTTACTGTGTGATTGGTTGCTGGTGGTGACAGCTCTCCAGATTGTTACAAATGCCCAGTTTAGAGGCCAATTTCTAGAGAACCCTTGGTCTCTCTATTGCTAACATGTAAAATAATTAAATACATATTTTTCTTGTGAATATGTATTTCAGGATAATTCTTCTGACATATAAACTGATGCAAGAAATTTGGAGCAGTTTTATACTTGCAGTCCTGTGAACTTATCAGAAGTTTTAATTTTAATTTTATTTTTGTTTTGTTTTGTTTTAGGTCTTAATCATTTAGGACTTATTTGCCTATGTATAATTGAGGGCTAATCCTACCATTAGACAGAATAAAACCACCCTTCTCAGACAGTAGAATTGGGATACCATTGAAGGATATTTAGAGCTGTTCGGAAAGGCAGGCACAGTGGGTGAGGTACATCTATAAAAAGTAGATGTCCTGAGTTTGTGAGCAGCAGTGCTTTCTGCTAAGGCAAAGACGTAACTGGACATAATCCATTGAAACAAAATAAAAAAGGGATGTTAACTTGGAAATCAACATCCTTTCCTTATATAGAGAGAGAGCCAGTGTGGTGTAGTGGTTAAGAGCATGGGACTGGGACTCAGACGATCTGGGTTCTAGTCCCTGCTCGGCCATGGAGCCAACTGGGTGACTTTGGGCCAGTCGCAGACTCTCAGCCTAACCTACCTCACAGGGTTGTTGTTGTGGGGATAAGATGGAGGAGGAGAATGATGTAAGCTGCCTTGAGTCCTTTGTAGGAAGAAGGCAGATAGCACCTGGAAGCACCTGTTCCATGTAAA